TAGCTTCCGCCTCCATCTTGACTTTTGTCCCCTGCACTCCACTGGACTCCCCTCTCTCTTCCGTTCTTCTCCTTTCCAGTGGTTGCTCTACTTCTTCTTCTTTCATCTCTGACTATATTGCCGCCAATTTCTCCTCCTATTCCTTTTTCCACTTTTGAAGTTCCTCCTCCATTTGCTTCAACTTAGCCTTTTGCTCCTCCATCAAGGCCAACATCTTCGCCTGCTTAATAAGCTCCCTCTTCTCCAGCTTCTCCTTCCTCTCTCTGAGGATGGTGGCGGCTTTCTCTTCTTGCTCTTTGGTGTATGGGGTGGTACTCTTACCGCTACGCGTGTCAACCATGGTGAAGGATGCACAACCAAGTAACAGTTCCACTCCTCACCACTTAGACTTCCACCCCCTGACTGACTGAACTGACTGACTCTCGAAGGAACACAGAGCCTTACCCTTCGATCCAGCCAAGTTACCACGGTCGACGAAAGCTTTCGCCACCCCTGTACTTTACAAACCAGACCCGGATGCCCCTGCATCTGCGGTCAATCCCACTTGGCTTTCTCTCTGGATCAGGACCCTGTAACTAGGGTCACTAGCCTTGACCTACTTCTAAGGCTGTCACTACAGAGCTCTACTGCTGATCAAGAGGCATTTAAGGAGATCCCCCATAACTCTTTAGGAATTCTTTAACGTCGCAATCAGGACAACGCGATCAGCAGAGCTCTCTCAACACTTAGACAACTGGTTGTGCAGCCCACAACTCAGATTTTGGGCCACCCATGCCACATTGTTCAGCCTGCCGGTCTCTACCAGTCCTTGGGAGGGTTTGTCCTCCGGGACGTGTCAGTCGTTAGACATGGAATTAAGCCCTACTCAGCCCGTGTGGGTTTAGTCAACGCAGCTCTACGACCTCACACACGGAGTCCTATCACCTGGACAAAAGAGACTCAATGCAAAAAGAAGAGACAGACAGACTCAGCAAGTACCATAGGGTGAGTACACATCCATAGGACGAGGGGATAGGCTGAAGGCTTGGCGAGAATATACCAACTCCAGCTTGGTCAATTTTGTGGTCAACAGCTCCGGTCAACGCTGGTCAACACTTGGTCAACTCGCTGGTCAACACCTTGGTCAACGCCAATCAACTCCCTGGTCAACTCCTCAATCACTGTCTTGGTCAACGTTGGTCAACCCCTAGATCAACGCCTTGGTCAACCCTCAACTCGGTTATGGCTGCCTAACCCTTTCTTCCTCACCAACCTCCTTTGTTCTCCTTCTCCCTCCTTCCTTCCTTTCTCTTTCTTTCTCACTTCACCCCGGCTATGGCTTCCTTCACTTTTGCCGTCCCTCCTTCCTCTTCCTTAGCTAGGACTTCTTCTTTCCTCTTCGTCTCTCCCTCCTCCTTCACTCGTCTTTCTTCTTCGTCTTCTCTGTGTCCAAGCTCGTCAGCTATGGCCACCACCTTCTTCCTTGGACCGCACAACAATCTTGTAACGCAATCTTGTATCGCTCATCTCTCTCTCTCTCTCTCTCTCTCTCTCTCTCTCTCTCTCTCTCTCTCTCTCTCTCTCTCTCTCTCTCTCTCCCCCTCTCTCTCTCTTCGTCGTTGTCTTCTGTGCAGGTTCGCGGCACCCTCCTTTATGGCGGACCCTCCTCCTTCGTTGGCGCAGCTACAGCTATGGCGCCCAAACAACGACGGCGCGTGGAATAACGGGAATCAGCTCCGATACCAATGCAACCAGACTCGCTTTCTTCTTCACTTCGCAACATGCAAACAGATGGAAATCCACACTGGCGCTGTGCGCCCACACAAAGCTCAGATATAAGCAAGCGGCGAACACAGTTCAGATGTAAACTTGCTTCAACAGACTATGGCGCATCAGAGCCTGAACATCCCAACTCTCGTCACTGTGTCCAACACCACTGTTCTCACATACTCAGCTTTGGATCACCCTGAATACCCCACACACATACACTATGCAACTCACACACGCACACACTGAACTCTACCTCTAAGCTACAGCGGCTTTGGCCGCCTAACCCCAACAAGCTATGGATACTCCATCCTCCTTCGGCCCACTTCGTCCTCGGGCATCTGCAGACCACCTTGCCCAAGACGCTAGGCCAGCACTTCCGCATGGCTCACGCAGGAATGAATGAACGGCTGGACGCTGCCTCTTGATTTATACTTCTGTAAGTCGCTGGTCTGCCCCTTTCCACCGGGCGCATGGTGCACACAGTCCCTCATGGTACTTGCTGACTGTGCAAAGTGAGACTGGGACTGTGTACCGCTGGCTAAGCGAAGTCGGACTCACCACTTGCCCACTTGCCTCTGGTCTGCTGTGAATAACGTGAGAAGAAACTTGAAAGGCCACTTCCGGACCTTCCGGAAGTCTGTGGACTTGGCCTTTCAGGACTGTAGCAGCAACGACCTTGACCTTTGAGGACTGTAGCAGCTACGACCTTGGCCTTTCAGGCCTGTAGCAGCTACGACCTTGACCTTTCAAAATTGCTACAGCTACGGCCTCTGCCCAACTATGACCCCTACTCGACAGATCTACAGATCGAATCCCTACAGCTACACAGACCTATGACAGACTACAGTCAACTACCAAAACAGAGGTCACGGGTTCAAACACACAGGGGTCGACTCGATACTGTACACGGGTGAGGTGAAGGTCTATGACAGACTACAGTCAACTACCAAAACACAGG